TATCTTTATTGAAGTGAATTACGTATAAATCGCCTTCATGCATGAATGAATGATATTTTTTGCAATTTTACACATAATAATCCACGATGATCACATTACACAAAACTGAAATTGCACGTCAAAATAACACATTGTCAATATTTTTTGAGACCCCCCCAAAATTTCACAAATCACGTTTTCAGGGGAGCCCATGTCTTATTAAGGGGAGCCGAGCTCCCCCTAGCTCCCCCGTAGTTCGCACCCTGTCTCTAATACATATTTTAATGTAATAAACTTTAAACCCCAAAGAGACAATCTTGAAATGCAACAGTAACAAATGAAAATCTACCTCTCATCCAGACTTTAATATGAACAGTTGTGGCACACGTATGCTAGGTTCCCTCTGTGTATTCTTCATGTGCCAATTTCAGCTGAACAGACGTCGGACTCACCTTTCCGCTTGTCTAGTGGAGGCTGTTCTAGTTGTGTACTGTATACTGTAGATCATCGCAGGTTTTACATTATCAGACGCAAAACAACTAAATTTAAAATTATGTATGATTTAATTTAAATTGAACACAATTACGACAAAAAAGAAAAGAAAATAACATTCAAATTTTAACTAATAGATGGTTCACCCCAAATATTTAGTCATATTTACTCACCATTCGTCATGTTGTCCCAAAACTGTATGACCAAACCTGTATATAAATCTTTTCACAATATATTTTTCAACAAAATATTAAGCAGCACAACTGCTTTCAACATAATAATAGCTACTTGAGCAGCAAATCAGCATATTAGAATGATTTCTGAAGGAATGCAAACGTGGAAGAGTAGGATAATTGTAACACTTTTGGGCTTTTGCTCATTGATCCAGGGAACGTTTAGCATAAAGCTTTACAATTTTGCCACAATCATTGTTGACATATCAGCAATCATTACCTGCATCAATTAAATCTATTACCTAATCAAACTGGATACCATTACACACAAAGTGCGGTGTTACCATCAGTCACCTAGACTCAATAATTATATGCTCTCTTATATGGGGGGAGGTTCGTGCACTTCCGTGTGCCTCAAAAGAGGGCTTACAATGACTT